CAAGAACAGTGCCATGTTCTTGCTTCCAACAGAGTGGCATATTTTCAAGCTTCATGAAAATTTTATTACTGCAGTGTGTCCTTTGATACCAATAATAATACTACAGGGTAGTATAGGCATATTAAGATTAGATGAAAACAGATTGAAGTTGGGATCCAACTTATGTTTCAACTAGAGAAATGTGTGGCTTCTCGTTTATAGTCATCAAGACCAATCAGTATTTTGCAGTTTTGTGAAATGAAATGTTTGTGAACCCATAATTTAGGGTTTTCATCAGCTGATTAGAAATGCTGAAGATGCATTTGGGGGTTTTGGTTGGGGTTAAGGGAACTTTTGATAAAAAAAGTCTGCTCTTAATGGAAATTTGGTCTAGATTCTGTGATACTAAGGTGCTGCTTGCATAACTTTATGCTATATACTTGTAATTAATGCATGCTCATCACAAACTTGCAGTATTTGTTACTGAATTGTTGATATACAATAATTGTTGCAGAATAATATATATGATAATTTATATATTTATAAAATGACTATGGACTGAATAAATACAAAACATTTTTAATAATTGAAAAATTAATAAGTTGATTTTATCTTTTTTGCAGTTTTGATCTTAATTAAGTGCTATTATTGAGATTGATCAGAACACGCACTTAATTGATCCAGCCAAACCAAGCGGACCAACATAACCAGTATGTGCCCCATTTTGAGATATGAACACCGTTTGAAAGGTATTTTTGTGAGCTCTGAATATTTGATGTGAGATGGTAAAAATCTCACCGTCGATAAAATAATACCCCACATTGTGCGTCATTGAGAGAATAAAAGAGAAAATCAGTTTTAGTAAATCTTTGAAAGCAAAAATTATAAAATGTATAATTTTTAGGGAATCTGGCATTTTTATATGATTGGACTGTCGGTTTCAGATTCTCGCAGACGATCTTTTTATCTGGCGGGAAACCAGCCTGCTCTCCGTATAAGAGTTGGCAACATGTCTGCATTGGATTTTGAAGCTCTGGGCGTAGATTACAATGCCGATTATTGCAAACAAATTGAAATATAAGGCGCTCATTTTTAACCAAGATATGTGTCTGGTATCGATAAGTGTCCATCCCCGGCAAGTATAACGATATGAAAATGCACTGCGATATATAGCAAATGATATTAATATGGCACTCCATAATATTGAAGTTTTTCACCTCGTTGTTTGGGCGGCACTGATTAAACTCGCCTCCACTCCCTAGAGGCTGACGTCAGGGAAAGAACTGTTTGTGTTTGGCTTTGATAAGGTGAAAACATTCGCCGTTATGCCAGCCATTAACGCCGTGATTAGGACAGAAGTTTTTATCGATTTCCGTTCTACCGCCAAAGCTGCAGTGTACATCCATGTCGCGCGTTTTAGCATGGTGTACATGTACTGAGATCAAATTCAGGTGAATGTTTTGGGATGCACACCTTGTCATAGATTTTTGATTTCATGGCCTTCACCGACATGAAATATGTGAATGGATGAGGAGGAAGATACGAGACATGACAGTAAGAGAAAAGTTGCCATCTGATTAAAAGTGGAAAATAATATGGCCGTTGGCCTGCCGTGGGGGGGGGGGGGTCGCTAAAAAAAAAAAAACACTGGTCGGGAAAAGTCTCCTCTGGCTCAAAAAATCATCTAAGATTTATGTCGTTCTCATGTCCACATTTACAGTAAAAGACCCCACCTGATAAAAACCTAATAAAAAGCTCTAGGCCGAAGTCAATAGCGTTGTGGAAGTGATGTCAACCTCTTGACCTCCCCCACCCCCACCTCCACCCTCCTCTTTATATCCCGAGCATTAATTAACCCTGGCTGTCTCCACCAAACTCCCAGGTATATAATAACTCCATAGCATTACTGCCTGGGATCAAGTGACTGTAAACATCCTGACTACTACGCCAAGTTATTTTTCCAAGTTCAGAGGAAGTCCTCGACTTTCCATTACGGCATGCGTAATTGCTAGGAACTTTAAGACGAACAAAAGAAAATGACCCAAATGTTTTGACCGAATATTGAGTGTTGTCATGAACCCTCCACTCCCTAAAGAAATAATAATAAAATAACACTTAAGGGTGAAGACAACGAATAATTTGAATTGGAATAAAGCGAGTTAAATAATTTACAAGCATGATGACTTTGAATGACATGATAGCTTTATTTAAAAATATTTAATCTTCATTAGTTGCTGAACGACGGGGAAAAGTTCAGTTGCAGAGACCGAAATTAAAACAATATTTATGTGTCGATCGCGTTGAAAAACAACCTATTTTACGTGGATTAGATCTGTTGGTAATCTGTACCGGACCTGACTACTTACACCATAATTATCTCACTGCGTCTTTAACCACTTAATGCCTACTCTGTATCTTCGATTTTTGAACCAGGGAGACTTTTTTAATGTTACCCACCTTTTCGATCAGTATTAGTCTAAACAGTATTAGTATCACAGGAAGATTGATTCCCCGTAAAAGTGACGTTATGACTCCATTACAGAAAATCTAATTATTTCGTCAACTACCTACGCACAGAAGGTTAGTGATAGATAGCTTTCATTCGTGGCTCTCTTCGCCATTTTCTACAAATGATGCATGCTAATGTCCATGAAACTCTGCGCGATGAAAAAATGGGGAGATTAAGTGAGTGAACGAATAGCAATTTTGGCAGATTTATGGCCCATTGTGGCGGTAGTTGAGTGGATATTAGTTATTTAGAGTTAGAAATGGAGCAGATAATTAAATAAAAATGCCTAGCAACCCGACCTTTCTGTCACACACTCATTTATTATTAATAACACCGTTGTTATAATTATTACCATCATCTTATTTCTTTCATTCATTCTTTCCGAATTTATACATTTATTAATTTTGGAATAACGCATTAACAAAACATCGGGGTTGTTTTTACGCTTAGTTTANTGGCGGTAGTTGAGTGGATATTAGTTATTTAGAGTTAGAAATGGAGCAGATAATTAAATAAAAATGCCTAGCAACCCGACCTTTCTGTCACACACTCATTTAATATTAATAACACCGTTGTTATAATTATTACCATCATCTTATTTCTTTCATTCATTCTTTCTGAATTCATACATTTATTAATTTTGGAATAACGCATTAACAAAACATCGGGATTGTTTTTACGCTCAGTTTAACAAACAAATTGCTCTCATAAAGGAGGTAATAAGTACATCAATATTAAAATGACCACCAATTAAAAACGTTTCGGTCAAAGCCCTTCTGTCGTATTATTATTATTATTATTGTATATAATTGGTGTTTGATGAAAATAAAAATGGCTAAAAGCAAAAATATATCAAAGGCCTCGTTCGATATTTCAAGGTGTCTTAACTCAGTATAATTGGTCTAGGGATGCCACCATCCCAGGATCAATGATCGCTACAGGGAGAGCGTCATTGCTTTTCTCTAAACTATTTATGATATTTATGATATTTACACGTTTAATGAAAAGAACTTCAGCCTAAAGCTGGTCTTAACATCTAGTGTTGATCTACGTGAACTTTGATCCGGGAAACATTAAGTGGCAATCCATTTAATTAGGAAATTAGGGCTTTTTGAAAAAAAGTAATAAATGTGTGATATATTACACAGACTGTCGTTTTGTTTCGGTGAACTACATGTACAACCGAAAGCTTTAACCCGGTTCTAAGCAGATAGAATTTTTCGGCCTTAAAGTTTTAAACCACCTTTTGAGGAAAGACCCTTTGTGACACCGACCCCAAGAGGTGACCTGCGGGAGGGAAATAATTATCAGACTTTGGTCGTTTTTATTATGGAGACGTACTATATTCAGTGTATATGTCCAAATAATCTTGATAAAACATCTGCTGTGAGCCTTTTCAACTACGTGTAAAAGTATGTTTATCATAAATATTTATGAATATATCAAATAGCTATGTGACGTGTGTAACGAAAGGAATCGTGTTGTTTGCTGAAATCATATAAGCTGATCGTCCATTGGCGATCACTTCATTGCAGATAACTTTGTAAAAATACAGCCGTGTAAACTTATCCAAGGTATAAAAGCAGCAATGAGCTTATTCACACAGCTTGACACTCTTTTTGGATCTGGTTTGGCATTGTTCAAATTGCTTGAATCATTAATTGCTCCGCGACTACCGATTGCCTAACACGCTGTAAAACCCGGAAAGGCCGGGATAGTCCTTACTTTATCTGGTCCTTTGCTGACACCATGTTGTATATTTTCAGTTTGAATTATTTCACACGTGAACGTGCGATCCGCAGTGACATGAATTAACAGAAATCCCGCAATATCTTTTTTATGTAATTCTGAACTTGTATGGAAAGTATCGACCTTCCCGCTCATCAACATTGCTATCATTGTTGTAAAGTTAAAGGATAACGTTTTCATTAATCACAGTTTAACAGAATCACAGCAAATTCAATTGAATGAAAGCTGTAAGGTTATTATGTGCAAGTATAATGTATTTTGGAATTAAGGAAGAGTCGTATGAGGTTTTGGTGGACTGGTTAGTTTCACAATCCAAAAGATATCATCTTTGAAGTTGATAACAGCCGTAAGCTGGACTTCCTGATCTCTCCAAATATGATGTATAGTAATTGAAATATTATTATAAATATATCATTTTAGACGTTACAAACTAGTCCTTAAGAAGGTTGCATAATAAGGAAATGTTAAATAAAATGGATAAGCTGAATGGAAAACCAACCAGTTCTAAGACAGATGTAAGCGTTTAGTGATTCGTGTGAACGGGACGAATGGTTCTGGAATGTCAGGTACAGTATATTTCTGTTGATTGAGCAGCATTCAGTTTCGTGTTTATTGTGAATACATGAAATTAGGGCTGATCAATACGTATTTAATTGACTCTGGCAGTGTGTTTCTAGCATTGCTCTATAAGTAAGATCTGGTGTGGAGTTCATATCACATAGCGTCAGCGTTATTTATGTTCCTGAAAAAGAGAAACGGGCGGGGTATTTAAGAGTATAGGTGGAGTTCAGCGTTAAAAAGGGGAACTAGGAGGAAACGGAGAAGGACGGTCAAGGTTTGTGGACTGACACGAAGATAAGGAAGAGAACTTTTGAGACGGGAAGTTGTAGATCGCAGCCAAACAAGGATCGTTTGAACGAGATATCCAAACCGCCTGAAACGTAAGTTTCTTGTCAGAGATTAGAGATACGTTCCTTCCCAATGTTATTTCAACTTACCGTATTGCCCATTAACTGCATACCTAAGGACAAAGGTACCCCCCATCCCCCTCCCACCCTCCAGTGTGTCCAGGAGAAAATCACTAGCACGTCCTCCACCATCTGTCAGCATTTTCACGTATCTTTTGCTAGCGATGCTTGACATCAGGAAATATCATCTTAGGAATTATTTTCACTTGTTCACACAGTGCTCGAGTCGTTAGATTATTTAAGCTAGACTTAAAGCATCTGCTGCCCACTACATGTACATGTATGTATTAATATCAGAGCATAGACAGAGAGCTTCAGTTTGGGCCTAAATAAGGTATCGGGCTTTTCGTCGCCCTTGCCTGCTCAATCGGCATCTTATGGTAATATTCCATTTTAAAAATTCAAAAAACTTTGGATTAAGAGACGCGTGTGTTTTCTCGTCTAATTTTCCGACAAATGCCAGATACAGTAAATTAAAATTGAATTTACACACTGCAGAATTGGAGTAGTGGTAGCACAGGGAGTAGTTTCGTCAGTTGAAATATCACGGGAAATTAAATTACAAGATTATGAAAACTAGAATTGAACATTCCGTCATATGGGGCGGTTTTCGTGCGTGTACTTACATCAATATGGCCACCTTCAAATTGGTTTTTTAACAAAAAGAAAGAAAGAATGAGATTAATAAGTTAAGCGTTTTATTTTTTAAATCAGAAAGGAAGCATTCGATTTCAAACTTTTGAATCCCTCTGTGATTCAACCCGCCAAACTTGCCTGTATTAACTCCTGCCTGACTTGACAACAGCAGAACAGTATGGCGGGGTATTTACTTTTCCTTTAGAATCCAAATATTGTCTCTTTACAACGAAGGGCCCCTCAGGATAATGGAGGAATAATTTATAAATTGTAATTTGTTTAATTGTTTGATAAATGACCATAAGAGGTGCTTCACAAACAACACAAGATTGATTTTATGTAATTTGTAAACTTGTAAAACGATCTTTCTGCATGATATATAATTAGCCCCCTTTTTGCACAAAGCGGTACATTTAACTGTACCGGTCCATCTTCTTGAACTTGTTGACATCAGGTTCTTTAATTTGAAGGTTTTAATCATTTTTAAAGCTCTGACTTCGGAAAGATAGGCAGCTTTGAGGTATATGTAGACATAGGAAATATAACTTTGAGACAGTTTTAAACTTGAACAGTATATATTGAAATGCCTTTCTTTTACCTTGAGATTCACAGATTGTTTGATATTATAAATAGCGGTACCTGTAGGCCTATTCACATAAGCATATCCTTGTTGAACAGGAAGCCACAGATGCATGCTGATACTGTGCATTAGTTTCCAATAATCTCTGAAACTTAAATTGCTGCTTTTTATAAATTTACGGAAAATGATACTAAAGCGTGTTTGCTTAAAACCATTTTGAATATTCTCAATCCGTTTACCTTCGCTTTAATTTCAGTAGTGGAGAATGGGGTCCATAAAGACGCATCAGGACAAAGTAACGGAGCTTTTCCACTGCGATTCTAATGCATATTTGGGGAAAAACGGTCACAGCTTCCCAGCATGTGTAAGGAAAGCACTTAACGATGCCATGATCCAAAGATGCACTGTGTTGAACTCTCTGACATTTGAAACCTGGCTCGACGCCATAATCTCTGACAACGGTGAGTTTGTCGAGAATATACTATCTGCTGTGACGCCAGAGGAAAAGAATTATTTAATTAATAGCAGTTTTGGATTTGAGTCTGAGGAACGGACAAATTTGACAAAATTCTGCAGTGAATTTCGCCTGCCAATGTTCATTGCCGTCGGGAGTGGTTCGAGCAGATGTCTCGATATTCTCCTCCAACACGGCGCATGCGTAGAGCAACATGACGACGGGCGTAACATCATGCACGCATTGGTTTGGGCTGCGTACATCTGGCCAAACCAGGAAAAGAAATGCCATGAGATATTTTACTTCTTACAAAAAAACATCCCTAAGGACATCTTCACATCTCTTCTGCTTCAAGAAGACAACTTGCGGTTACGTCCGGTGGAGCTTGCAGCCGCATTGGGTGTGCTTCCACTTATCCAGGCCATATTTTCTGTGGACGGCATTTACAGACACGTGAGAAAAAGCCACGGTCTTCGCAAACTCGTATATTACGATGTAACCGAATATCACTTCTCAAATTCATCCGACAAAGAACGATTCTATAAATCACCTTTGCTAATGCTAGCATTTTTGAAGCCTGCTGTCTTGGGAAGACCCACAACGCCCATGATCTTGTCCTCTTCTGCCATGGACACTTGGATAGAAGCCAGCTTAAAGAATATGACGATACCGATAGTTATTTCCGGCTTGATGCGGGTTTTCTACGCCGTGATTTTCTGCTTTACTGTAATGGCGACATTTCACGAAATTACGCAATCCCAGACGAGACGTCTTGCAGCAGCTGCATCCAACACCACGTCACATTTAGCCGCCGCTGCCACCAATGTGACGTGCAGCGCCGCCCAATCGATCGCAATTTCAGGCGAGATTGAAAACAAATCATTCGTTTTCGGCTGCCAAATGTTTGTATCCATCACCTGCTTAATCGCGATCCTGAACGAAATCCTCACCACAGTTACCGTCCATTGTTTGTCGTGGAAGCCAAAGTATAAATTCGCCAGATTGATGATGTCGGACAGTAAAACTATAGTGTCTGCAAACATTTATCGCATATTTAGTTTTCTCCATGCTGTCTTGGTTCTTTTGGCCTTACCATTGTCGGGTCACGTGGTAGAGAGCCTAAATGAACCTCCAATGATCATCCTCGCGCTTATTTACTTGACTTTCTCCTTTGCCTGCATCCTTAATGTGTGGTTTGTCCTATACATCGTCCAACTAGCCCCCAGGATTGGCTACTTTGTGGTTGTGTTTCAGAAAATGATGCTGGACATGAGCAGATTCAGTGTCATATTCATCTTGGTGATAATCCAGTTCGCCTTCGTTTTCTACGCTCTCCTCGCCGAGACCTGCAACAACGATTTCCCGGACTTCATCTGGTCCTTTTACTCCACTTTCAAAATCATGCTGAACACCATCAACGTGACGGGGTACGTGGAACAGACAGATCCACGCGTGCTAGCCCTCGCGGTACAACATCTCCTCTACGTCTTCACAATAGCCATCCTCCTCCTGAACTTTCTCATCGGGATCATGACCAGCTCAGTCTCCATACTGCACGAGAACCGGCAAGTGATCTCGGTGCTGCAGAAAATTTCTGTCGTCACCGAATTTGAGAGGGTGTTTCACTTTTATCCGGCCTGCATGAAGAGATGGTGGACAATTGGGTTTGTGCGGGAAGAAGACAAGGTGTACCTTCCTGTTTGGGAGAATAAACCCGATGGAGAATTATTTGAATGATGAGACAACGGATATTCATCTTGCGTTGACGTTTGATTTTTTATTCCCCAACAAGGGCATTTCTTCAGGAACATTTTATCGCTTTAGCTGCACTGCCTGTTTTATCTGGGATTCACTTTTGACTTGCTTTTGAGCAAGAGACGAACTGGAATTCATGTCTTTGTTTCCTTATATACATTATACATTTAGGACGAAATGTGTAGTATTTATATTCTTTATACGTATTTATATTGTCGTTCAGTTTTTGTACCGCTCTCTCTCGTGATAAGTTTATGCTCGCGATGTGTGGATGCTAATTTAACACTATAGGTGTACCTGTACCAAAAATTCTTACGCAATTGTCTCCATCTTTTTTTTTCATAAGGTGAAGACCATTGAATTAAGTGATGATGGAATAACTTCATTGTTTCACATCCCAATGTAAGGCCCCAATGCCAATTTTGGAACTGCATTAACATAAAAGATAAAACTTCTCTTGGTAAAATATATTTCAACTACCTTTAATGATAGATACCAAAATGAGGATTTACGGTCTTGTAAACACTTGTCACTATTAAATCAATTATCTAAGTGGTTCAATTGCTCTGATGAGATAAAAGCCACCGGACAATTACGTTTAATAGATTTGTTTATGGTTTGGAGGAATGATTGGTCGTCAGGGGGCTTTTAATGCTAAAACGGATACCATCTCAATTAAGGACACAAAGGGGAATCAGTTTGCAAATAAATCAAAAGGTGTGTACTCCGTGAATCCGTAGTTTAAAATCTCTGATATCAATTAAGGTCGACCAGTTTTGCACTTTCTCGAGTTAACAGGTCGATTCAACTGGCTTGCCAACAGAAACGACTATCAATGCGCCACATGTGCATATTAAGGGCACTTCCAAACCGAGTTGAACCGGGGACTAACAGATCCGCGGGTCAATATGGCTGAATCACTTTAAAGCTCGTCGCATAATCCCCTAATAGATACTGAATAGATACGGGGATTACGCGGTAAGCTTATAAGTGGGACGACCATATTTGATCTACAGATCTGTTAGTTCGCGGATCAACTTTGGTTGTGAATGCAGCCTAAGACTGGGTTCCCATGCCCAGATCGATCCATCTGGATCGGCCTCCCCGAGGAGTCGCCCTAATTTGCTATCAACTAACCGGCTTAAATGTCTGTCACACCGAATCAGCTAGGGGGTAACGATAGTTACACACTAACAGCTTTACTAGGCGTGACAGACATTTAAGCCAGTTAAGTTGATATCGATTTAGTGAGACTCCCCAGAGAGGTAGATCGATCTAAATTTCTGTGGGTATGGTCCCTAAGGCTTGCTTTAAAACCACCTGATTTGACCTGCCATATTGCCATATGGTGCCGTTATAATAAGTGCAAAGACTCTTAGTATTAATAAGTTATCATGTGTGACATACAGAGTAAATGATGACTTATAGGCAAGGCATTAGTTATTCAAGAAAAGAAACTATTACTCATTTAAATAATTGATGACGCAAAGGTAAGGGCTCGAGACATTTTTTTTTTCATGATCATTTATTGAAAATTTATATATCTCAAAGAGGAAACGCTCACATAGAAAATGAAACGTTTGCACATTGAAGAGCTTACTGAAAAAATAAATTCTTGCTTCTCAGGAATTACACGGTTGTCTTTTGATTTTTTAAAAATTTATCTTTGGTGGACAATCTTTTAAATTCTTGGAGTTTACAGCATATTGAAATAATATCCAATAAACATGTTTTGCTGCCATTACACAGCATTTCAAGTCTAAGTCCGATAAATACTTTGAGTCAATGGAAAACACAATGATGGAAATGGCTAATGCCTAATAAACTATGACGTTATGTATGTCTGGCATGTATTCCATCAATGTCATTGAGTGCAATACATTGGTCGATAGAATGACAATCTGAATTTTGAAAGGCGCCTTCAACATACGGGTATTGCACTCATCCTTTTATATGTCACTAGTATGCCATTTGGAAATTTTAAAACGCCTTCGTTTACCATAAACACCATGTTTGCCTGAGCAATAGAAGTCATTACCATGACTTTTCCTTTTCGCAGATCTGACACTCAAACCGTTGTCTATAAGCATTTTATTCAATGTCTATATCAAAAATAAATTAAGTGTGCTTTGGTAAGTTTCTTAAATTCAGTACCTGCAAATGCTGTGGACGCCATAGCTATCACAACAATATGTTTTTTTTTAAATATATCATTTCTCAAATATAAATATATGACTTTTGCTGACGAAAAGTAACTTTACAAGTCCAGGGGCGAATCAAGGATAATTTGAATGGGGGGTTCGCAGATGCGAAGCCGATCCCCCCCACCCCCCACCCACTTGGCGTGGGGTTCGGGACCCGCTGAAGTGAACCCCAAATTTTTGGTATTTTAGAGGGCGAACGGTGCCCTTTGGTACGGTTTAGAACTATGCTACAGCTATTCAAAATTCTAATTTCAAGAGGGGACCAGAAATCAAAGGGGGGGGGGGGTCAGCCCCCCCCCCGCCCCCCTCTAAATCGGCCACTGAATTCTATCTGATCTATACGCATTCCATGCAATGTCTTTGTCGAAAAAAAAAAAAAACTAAGGTTTCCGCAGAATAATAATAGAACGATTTGAAATAGAAATATTTTAGAACTTTGTCAAATTTCTAGAACCTGGTGGCAGAAACTGAAGTGGACGCCACACTGGTCTCGGAGGCCGAGTGCTGGAGCCCACCCGGCTCACCACTATGCGAGGGATCTGAAAAAAAATGCAGACGGCAAAATAAACGATGGGATCTGTGAAATATTTGGAAGAAATTTTCTAAAGAAGTAGACCGTAAAAATAAAATGGTGGTCTGTCGCAGTTTTGCACATTTTTAGATATTCAATAGAGTGCCATCACTTAGGCCTAAAACATGTACATATATGTTCAGAAATTCCCCTCCACCGATTATGGATTCGCAAAACTGTATGACTCGTACAATTTGAAAAGTATTTGCAGAAACTTATATGAACATTTAACACATATATATTCTGACTATATCGAATGCATTCATACGGGTCCCATACATTTGGGTTAATGCACACGCAAACACGCACGCGCACAGACACAGGTCAGATATGCAATAATTGCAAGCACCAGCATGCGTTTATGACACACTGTCACTGGTATTGATGTTTTCATTCAACATGTATGCAGTGTATATGATCACCACACGTAGTGCTAACACTTGGGTTTAGGCATAGGCCGACACGGTGCTTCTACTATTATAATTGTGCTTTACATATATGTAGTGTTCTTGGCATGCCTTTTTTATTTTTCATGCAAGATCTCGTGCCGTTCAAACCATATATACACATATGTATGTGTAAATACATTTTATTCCATGCATGCAGAGCTATCAACCCGTTTAGTGATATTCATTCTACCTGTTTTAAAGGTCTTTGTCCGTATGGAGTTGGTCTGAAAACTGGCAAGATGGGGAGGAAATGTTTTAATGTTTAGAAAAAAATCTTTGTCGTCTATGAAAACATTTCAAGGTATGCACTAAATGTGATAAAGTACATTGGCATTTTAAACAAAATTTGAGCCTTGATCAATTATTGTTTAGGAAATTGGATGCAAAGAAAGCGTAAACTGTAACATACGCAATTAGTTGAAGCGCAACTTTCTCCATTTTAATTAAAGTATCACATAAGCTTATTAGGTAAGTCGAAACCCGTATTATTTGAGAGTATGTTATATTCTTATATTCTACTCTTCTGCTTTCTCAATTTTTCACGTAAGTTTTGTACCCTTTTTCAAAGAGCAATGCTTTTTACTTGCTCTGACAGTATAATCTCTACCCAAATCGGCTTCATTGTTCTCCAGTATTGATGAAGCCATCATAGTAATTTAACCGATGAAAATGACAGATAAAATTCATTATTTATTTACTGGACAAAGTAGTTACCGCCAGCTACACTTATAAATGACATTTGGGTCGGGGGTGGAACATCGTTTCTTACCCCGTCTCCCCTCTTAATAAGCTTAATCCATCAGTGTTTGATCATGACCGATCTATCGCTTCATTCAATAACCCAGAACAAATGCAGTGAGAGGAAATCGACAGGAAAAATTGACGAGCAGAAGGCGCCCACGCCATGTTTATTTTCATGCACTGACATATATATTTAAGTGAAGGGAGACTAAATTAGGTACAGGAACACTGTCAGCGTTCATGAGTCACGTGTGAAATAATACCTTTCCTGGGAAATCGCACGTGTTTTCGACTTGTTCTCATTATGATGAATTACAACAGGCAACAAGACGGACGATCCGTAACCGTCGTCCAAGGTAAATCAATAAGATGAATTAGAAAAAATATCAACCATATCTGATCTGTCATGCACAATTTATGGGGGCATTGATATAAAAGTTTGTATTTGATTGAGAGATAATACTACGTGTGTTATAAATATATAATTTTATTACACTAAGTACTGCAAATTGCTTCACGCCTGGGCAGCTCTTTTTATTCAGTTTAACTCTGTTTTCAATTTTTGTCATTGGGAATCAAAACGATTTACAATATATGAAAGGCCCGCGTATGTAAAGGCGATGAATTAGGCCTACTAGCGCGCAAGGATTATCATGGTGTTTTGGGCGTTTTTCTTTCACAGTGTTTTGGAAGGCCAAACATCGTTATGTCGTGCTACAAATCACGACATTTACCTTGTTCGCCTATCTTCCTTCCAATCTAACCCATAACATAACACTTTCTTGCTAAAATCCAGACCTTTACCTGGAAGTGGAATCACTGGTCCGTGACAGAGTCTCCCCCTGGCGGCCCTGGGGTCCATGGTCAACATGGTCGGGTTGAGCTGACTCATGTATGAGCTGTTGGTGGAGCCGGATATACCGCTCTCTGGACGTCCTGCAATGTGAAATGATCATAGGTATTAATACCTTATTGGTGGAGGCTCGTAATGGCGGTGGTGGTTGTAGTAGGGCGTGTGTGTTAGGGTGATTTAGAGCTGGGACAAAATGGCCAGCCCTTGGCAAATTGAAAAGTTTGCAGCAACAAGTTTGCAGGTGTTTGTAAGAAAAAAATATAGGCCTATTGCTGCTAATTTGCAGCAATATTGTAGCAAAATATCCTGCAAATTTGGGGGTGGGGGGGTGGTGGTGACCCTGCGTTTCAAATATCAACCTATTGGAAACTAAAATGCCCCAACATTAAGCCTTTGCCGTTACGTTACGTTTCACTATCAGTGTAGGTTAGTTATTTCTGGAAATATCTGGAACTCGGAGAAGGAATAAGTTGGCTCACGTGTAAACCGATGGTAAATTACAGAGATAACAACTGTTCATTTTGGCCAAATAAAAAAAGGATTTTCCTGGGGTAAATGAAAAATTTCCCATACTTACCAATGGGTAATGAGTCCATCCCACATTTAAAGTTGGTCTTTGTTTTTTCTAAAAAGTTGGTTTTCTGTAATACTCTCTTAAGAGATTATTACAGAGTGTAGCCATCTATGGAGGTCACGTGACGTGATGGCAAGCACAAATTCCAGAATAATTGCGTTAACCACTGTTTTTGGTGTTTAAATGGAATTAATTATATTTCTATCAGCTGTTTACAATGTATTTATTGTGAAACGTGAAATATTGATATCTTACGAACAGTTGTTACATGTATCCCTTTAACTGCGCTGATATATAGGAGTAGCTAGGGTGGGGCACTGGTGTTGGAGACATTGTTAAACTGTAATGTATAACATTTATATAAAAACATATACTAGATAAGACACATAACATTTATATAAAAACGTGAACCGGATAAGGCATAAAATCAATATATGGTTCTTTACTTTGTGTAGGGACTAGTGTAGGCGCCATTTTCTTTTTCATTTTCTTCTTCTTGTGGTCTGCCTCTATCTCTGCTTTAGTTCTGGGTATTCTGCAGTCCATGCAGCAACAGCATAGGACAACTTTTGAAAAATAAAGAAGAAAAATTAATGATAAAATATAAATAAGACACCCTTCTCTGCTGTGAACATTCACGCCACCCAAAAATAAGAACATTCAAAAAGGACTCATTCACGCCGATACATAGGTAAAGTGAGAAAGTAACAACGCAACATTTAATTTTTTTACTTACCGCCCACCACACGATCGGGTTTTGATATCAGAAAAACCTTTTAAGTATTCGTTTAAAGACAACGCTTTATATCTCTTTGGTTAGGCGAATCTATACAGTGTATTGCAGAATGCGTAAGTGCGTGTCCGGTCTCGCGCACGTGTGTGAGTGCGTATGAGTGCATGGTGACGTGATTTATGTCTTAATGCTGGTCGTTGGAGATTGCGGGGGGCCTCCCCTCCCCCCGCAATCTCCAACGACCAGCATTAAGACATAAATCACGTCACCACGTTGAAGAACTAGGGGGGTTGAAGAACTAGTTAAAAGACAACAGAAACCACGAAGCTGATGAAATACGAAATCAGAAAGGAGCGGTGAGCGGTTCAAGAACGGAGTTCATTGTGAATCTAAACAGGCAATGAGAACGTACCATCAAGGAAACAGCCTATATACTTACTGAGCGCCAGTAATCCTGCTAAAACGATGGCCACTATGTGCCACAGTCGGAATCCAAAGACGATCGTCTCCGATGTTATGGGGAGGCTATTCCGGACTCGAACCTCGGCAGTAGTTGTTACATCCATATCGTACACGTCTTTCTAGTTTTGGAAACGATATTTCTTGCTTTCAGTCTACCAATCGGAAACCATTGATACAAAAGGGAAAATGGTAAATATTTCAATGCTCTGGATCAAACACTTCGTTGATATCGGTAGAATTTATGAACCATCCTTTAAAAAATCAGTGGTTGTGCAGTTAAATTTGAAGCCTTTAGAGATGCACCAGGTCGGCCTTCGCTTCTTTTCAAACTCCTTTCGCAGATCTTGTACAATTAAAACGTCTTATTTGTCCAAGTCCTGAATGAATAAAAAGCGACAATTAACATTAATCCCAAAAATTCAACTCTATCCAATCTTCTGAAGAATATCAAGAATTCAGAAAGAGGGATCTCTTTCCTGTCGACAGTCTGGTTTTCGTGCGACTGGTCGTTACTGTGCAGAAACCTCTAACAAACAATAAATTTCATTTTTTTTTGGGTGAAAACTATTGACAATCCTTGAATTATCCTAACTAGCACTTCCTCTGAAACGGTACCTGAATAATCCTCCCAGGCGTGATGGTGTTCATTTTCAATCTGTGCTCTCTCTCTCTCTCTCACTAATCCCCGGCTNGTGGTGGTTGTGGGGAGGGGCGTGTGTGTTAGGGTGATTTAGAGCTGGGACAAAAGGGCCAGTCCTTGGCAAATTGAAAAGTTTGCAGCAACAAGTTTGCAGGTGTTTGTAAGAAAAAAAATATATAGGCCTATTGCTGCTAATTTGCAGCAATATTGTAGCAAAATATCCTGCAAATTTGGGGGTGGGGGGTGGGGGTGACCCTGCGTTTCAAATATCAACCTATTGGAAACTAAAATGCCCCAACATTAAGCCTTTGCCGTTACGTTACGTTTCACTATCAGTGTAGGTTAGTTATTTCTGGAAATATCTGGAACTCGGAGAAGGAATAAGTTGGCTCACGTGTAAACCGATGGTAAATTACAGAGATAACAACTGTTCATTTTGGCCAAATAAAAAAAAGGATTTTCCTGGGGTAAATGAAAAATTTCCCATACTTACCAATGGGTAATGAGTCCATCCCACATTCAAAGTTGGTCTTTGTTTTTTCTAAAAAGTTGGTTTTTCTGTAATACTCTCTTAAGAGATTATTACAGAGTGTACCCATCTATGGAGGTCACGTGACGTGATGGCAAGCACAAATTCCAGAATAATTGCGTTAACCACTGTTTTTGGTGTTTAAATTGAATTAATTATATTTCTATCAGCTGTTTACAATGTATTTATTGTGAAACGTGAAATATTGATATCTTACGAACAGTTGTTACATGTATCCCTTTAAGTGCGCTGATATATACACACACTGGACAAAAGAAGTGTCACCCCCTAACTCAGAGTAATAAAAGTAGGCAGATCTTGGGTAATTATAATGCCTGGTCTACTTATAATGTGACTAATGAGTATAAAACCACTGTACCATGGGATTGTATTGTTGGTCTTGTACATGTAAAGCAAATGTTATTCCTGTCTTCCTCCAATATGGCAAGATAGAGGCAATTATCTAACGGTTATAGGTGCAAGTTAGTAACCTGAAGAGGCGGAATATAAGCAATGTCAGTATATCGATACAATTGAATTGTTTAGTCAGAACCGTGCAGAGGGTCTGGTCTCGGTATAAAAACACTGGATCAAGAGACAAATTGCCTCTGATGGGTCGTCCAAGAAAAACTACTGGCCGTGAAGACCGACGACTGATTTTGATGTCCACTGCTTGTCACTGCTTGTCAGTTGACAACACAGTGGAAAAATTTCACACATAAGAATGTGTCTGTGAAAATTGCTAGGCGTCGGTTACATGCTCATAGAGTGTACAGCAGGGTAGCAAGATTGAAACCTCTTGTATCGTTACAAAACATGCAACGTTGAGTGAACTAGGGTCAACAGGATCTGGAACTGGACAGTCCATGACAATTGGTCCTATATATTTTTTTCTGATGAGTGTCGCTTTGGTCTGACCTCTGATGACAGACGGGTACGATGCTGGCGAACTGCTGGTAAAGCATTTGAACCACATGTACTGAATTTTCGAACCCGGAGCAGCATATTCATCATGGTGTGGGGCTGCATCAGCATCCATGGCGTGGGCGAATTGATTTATGGTTGATGAAAACATGAATCACTAGAAATATATCGATGTTTTGGAGTCAGGCTTGCTACCATCTATTACTAACATGTTTGGTGACAGGAATTATCCATTTGTTCACCAGGACGACAATGTTCCTTGTCACAGGACCAGAGCAGTTGATGATTGGTTTGACCAACAGGACATTCGCAGGGTGATGTGGCCTGCCCAGAGTCCGGATGCAAACATAATAGAAAATGTGTGGAATGATATGTCAAAACTTTGGACAAATGCCCGTCTAACCAGCAGAGAAACTCTGTTATATTCAGTGTTTCATGCTTGGGCCAGCATAAGCCCTGAACGCATCAGACAATTATATGAATCCTTGCTTCGTAGACTGGCACCTATTATTAGGTCACGTGGCTATGCCACTAAGAACTAATTTTGGACTTGAAACTGCATATTTTGGTAGAATGTATATTTTGTTCTCATTTTGTGATTTTTTGTGAAATTTGATGTTAATAAAATGATACCAGGAGCATATCATTCCACAGTCATTTATCTCCCCCATAGTATTGGCTCAGTAGGGGTGACACTTCTTTTGTCCAGTGTGTGTAGGAGTAGCTAGGGTGGGGCACTGGTGTTGGAGACATTGTTAAACCGTAATGTATAACATTTATATAAAAACATGCACTAGATAAGACACATAACATTTATATAAAAACGTGAACCGGATAAGGCATAAAATCAATATATGGTTCTTTACTTTGTGTAGGGACTAGTGTAGGCGCCATTTTCTTTTTCATTTTCCTCTTCTTGTGGTCTGCCTCTATCTCTGCTTTAGTTCTGGGTATTCTGCAGTCCATGCAGCAACAGCATAGGACAACTTTTGAAAAATAAAGAAGAAAAATTAATGATAAAATATAAATAATACACCCTTCTCTGCTGTGAATATTCACGCCACCCAAAAATAAGAACATTCAAAAAGGACTCATTCACGCCGATACATAGGTAAAGTGAGAAAGTAACAACGCAACATTTAATTTTTTTACTTACCGCCCACCACACGATCGGGTTTTGATATCAGAAAAACCTTTTAAGTATTCGTTTAAAGACAACGCTTTATATCTCTTTGGTTAGGCGAAACTAAACAGTGTATTGCAGAATGCGTTAGTGTGTGTCCGGTCTCGCGCACGTGTGTGAGTGCGTATGAGTGCATGGTGACGTGATTTATGTCTTAATGCTGGTCGTTGGAGATTGCGGGGGGGAGGGGGGGGTTGAAGAACTAGTTAAAAGACAACAGAAACCACGAAGCTGATGAAATACGAAATCAGAAAGGAGCGGTGAGCGGTTCAAGAACGTAGTTCATTGTGAATCTAAACAGGCAATGAGAACGTGCCATCGAGGAAACAGCCTATATACTTACTGAGCGCCAGTAATCCTGCTAAAACGATGGCCACTATGTGCCACAGTCGGAATCCAAAGACGATCGTCTCCGATGTTATGGGGAGGCTATTCCGGACTAGAACCCCGGCAGTAGTTGTTACATCCATATCGTACACGTCTTGCTAGTATTGGAAACGATATTTCCTGCTTTCAGGCTACCAAGCTGAAACCATTGATACAAAAGGGAAAATGGTAAATATTTCAATGCTCTGGATCAAACACTTCGTTGATATCGGTAGAATTTATGAACCATCCTTTAAAAAATCAGTGGTTGTGCAGTTAAATTTGAAGTCTTTAGAGATGCACCAGGTCGGCCTTCGCTTCTTTTCAAACTCCTTTCGCAGATCTTGTACAATTAAAACGTCTTATTTGTCCAAGTCCTGAATGAATAAAAAGCGACAATTAACAATAATCCCAAAAATTCAACTCTATCCAATCTTCTGAAGAATATCAAGAATTCAGAAAGAGGGATCTCTTTCCTGTCGACAGTCTGGTTTTCGTGCGACTGGTCGTTACTGTGCAGAAACCTCTAACAAACAATAAATTTCTTTTTTTTTTTTTGGGTGAAAACTATTGACAATCCTTGAATTATCCTAACTAGCACTTCCTCTGAAACGGTACCTGAATAATCCTCCCAGGCGTGATGGTGTTCATTTTCAATCTGTGCTCTCTTTCTCTCTCTCTCACTAATCCCCGGCCNAAGCCCTACTGGAAGAGTGGTTGTGTCATTATTAATGAAGAAATAGCAAAAACTCTCTCCAAATCCTGTTCTCAGGTGTGCTTTTTGGCAATCTTTAAAGCTTAAAATGGGTGCTTTAATGAAGTGATCCGGGCGCATTTCCACATTTTTTATGAATGACAGGTGTGGTAAATTGATTTTCCTCACATTTCGGAAAAATCGGAGAAGGGTTGATTCTTGGTGATTTTGAGTGATTTTCATAAAGGCTGGATATGACATTTTTTTATTCAATTTTGGCCAATGATTTTCTAGATGCTAATTGAACGTTAAAGAGCTTTTGGATCAACAACATAACATGCATATATGATGGTATTGTTTTTAAATATCTCAAATAGGTCAACTGACATGCGCATTGGAATTAAAATAACGATAGAGTCAGGCCCTAAATTTTTAATGATAGCCCTTATATATATAGTGGCCTACTGACAAGGCGGGTAGGTGGCCGGGTCGGTACCTTTGAATTGGTTTGATAATCCATTTATGAAAATGAAAAAATAAAGGAATAATAATAATAATAATAATAATAATAATAATAATAATAGTAGTTATAAACCAAGTAGGTGGAACTATATTTTGCAAAATGCGAAGTTTGAAAGTCCTAAACATAAAAAGTGTTGGGCCTACAGTAAGAGAGAATTCAATGATAGTGCTCTACTATACATTTACATCAAGTAACTTGGATACAGTTTGGACCCATATTATCGGCCCAAGATTTCTAAGAAAAAAAAATAATGGCAGTTTTCCCTACTACCTATCTATGGAACCTATAATTATTAATGGACCTTGATAAAAACCCATCCAAGCGCCTCAGATCTACTGCATCTTTTTCTTTACTTTTGTAGTATTATTTTTTTCTATAAACTGTGTGTCTCTTGTGTGTGTGTGTGTGTGTCTGTGTGTGTGTGAGGGGGGGAGGCGAGTTGGGTCATCACAGTTATAATTACATGCTTTTTTGTGTAGGGCCTATAGTACATGCCTTGTTTTTGTTAGTCTATTATGCTATTTTTATACCACTGAACCATGGACATAATAAGAGAAGGTCTTATTATGTCCATGACTGAACCAATGAATCCAGGGGCGGATTTAGGCCGTCTTCTGGGTCTTCCGGAAGACGGTCAGATTTTCAAGTTTACATTGACGGTATCTATATTTTTTTCTGTTGGAAGACGGTCAAAATTGGAGGATGGATCAACAAAGATAATTTGGAAGACTGTCAGAAAATATCTTTGGATCCGCCCCTGGAATCAATATGCGTTTTGAATAAACACATGGATGTTTTTAAAATCTGAGCACCCCTATCATCATTTCAAACAGGCTGTTAGATATCTCTCCAATTTACCCACACTTAAATATCTCGAATAGATACACGATCTACTGAACGACACAAAGTAATAACACCTAGATGAAAGGGCCGATTTGATAGGACTGTCAACGATCACTTGATAATTGTCAATGTAATTCTAATCCCTCGGCTCTGTAGGGGGCCGAGAGACCCACGTCGTTTTCTATTAATCTTATCACGGAAGTCGCTCGTTTCACGGGTTCTGTTTAGTTTGTGGTAATTTAATGTGTAACCAGTGTTAGGTATAAGCTGTATTAAGCTTGGTTAATCTGAGGTCATATTGGCACTCTGACTCTTCATTATTAGCTGTCTGGCTCACTGTTCAGGGTACTACAGGTGTGGTGAGACTCTTAAGTCTGTAAATCTACTGCAGGCGCATTAAGCAAAAAATGAGAGGTTTTTCATTCTAATTTTTATGTCAAAGATTAAAAAATCTAGATACAGAAACTGAATTATTTGTTTCCAAATGCTGAAAGTAGGAATGAGAATGCTTTATATGTAGTAAATAAACTCTGGTTTCAAATGAGAAATGATAAACATTTTCCTTAGATTTATTGTTTGATAAGCATAAAGAAGGAACTTTGTGGTTAGGCCTATTCCTCGCGTCAGAAAATTAAAATTGTGATATTGATAAAAATCATAATAAAACAGTCAACCTAAAAATCAAACTGGTTAACTAGCTTACTATTAAAAACAAACAAACAAACAAAAATTCCATCCACCACAATTGGACTGTCTGAGACTGGTAGGGCCATGAGCAGGTGACTTTCACAGACTGTGACCGGTTTTACAAAAGAAATTGTAGTCCAGATGAGTGAAGTAGTGCGCCTGATTTATTAATATTATGAATCGGTTAATGTTTAAGACCACTGGTTTTAGTTAACTACAATGTATTTATCAGAGGTAGACCTAATTAGATTAGGGTCTTTCAGTTTTAACTTAAAAGACCAATGTTTGGCCTGGAGTAATTTTGTGAGACAAGGTTCAGATTCACTTTTAGTTACATGTCCTGTAAGTTGAGCGTGTTCTTTTGGACAATCTATTTTGCTAAATGTACAGTTTGGAAAGTAAAGTAAATGCTCGCTAGACAAATAGAAATTAATAATTAAAAACTGGAGATGCGTTCGTTCTATGTTATGATCCAGACTTTTATAAACAACATATTTTCTTTCAATTATTAAGTCACTGTTACGTGTATGTGTGACATCATCATTAATCACTGTACATGTGATAAATGATGGGCTTGCATATTATTTTATTGAAAAATAGATCACCCCCTGGAGTTTGCGTTTAAAAAGATGTTTTGAAGTCGAGACCTCACATTATCTTCTGTTCACTTTATCTTTTTTTCAGTGAAGTCTTATTAAATAAGTCAAATAGATTTGCATAGAAAATCTGCAATTAAAACTGAAGATAAATGACTTCCCTTACAAAGCTATTGGAATTCTGCCTTCTTTTCTATGCAATTTGATATGGTGAAAACAGCGCAGGATATCCCTTAAGATACGCTGTGAGAAAAACATTCAAAATAGTCTAAAAAGTGGGGTTGATGTCGTCGACATAATTAGATGAAGCAGAGTTCAAATATTTCTAACACAAAGGAATGATCTGTATCCTATAGCTAGTGGCCATTTGGTCATTATTTACGGTAGTGATATGAACACTGAGGTTTTTATACGGTCTCAGTGAACATAAGATTCAAATAGAGGACTCGTGTGATGTGCCTATATATCACGACCAATGGCTGATCAAGGATAGAGGGGGGGAGGTTAAAAGAAGAGGGGGTTAAAGGTTATCAAATGTTTTGTCACACTTTCCCTGGTGAATATTAAGCAGTAGATCGACTGACGCAATTTAAGTATACAGTAATTTGTAGGCTGCAGGGATTTGAATAGTTTTACTTGTTATAGCCATTGTTTCGACTAGTTTCACTCGTTCTAGCCTATGATTTTTGGGGATGGGTGGAGTTGGGGCATATTGCGTTTAATTATTTTCATTGTCTAAATTAAATATATATCTGTTAAAAAAGTGAAAACATATTTTTGAAGCAAATATCAATAATTTGGTTAAAAACTAAATTTGATTGAAATAAAATAGGTGAGAAAAAAAAAGAAAAAAAAACACTTGCTTAAACTGTAAGGAAAGTGACCTATTCCAAAAAAGGACACTATGCACCTCGAACTATGCCCACTTTACAATATGGGTCAAATTGAAGTCAACCCTAACTTGAAATGACATCCCTTTTTTTCCAGCCTGTCAAATTATGAAACTCTCTTCGTGATGAATGATTTTTCTTTCACAGGTATCCAGTTTCCCCACTTCCCAGTCGCCCAGCAGTTGCCATTCAGAGCGACACCAGCAAGCAGAAAGATTGTCATGTTTGCTCTGGTTATATCACAAAGCACGTAAATCAGTAAACTGTGCAAACATTTTGGAGCTGGACCAATTTTAAGAGCAGCGTAGACCAGACGTGAAAACAGGGGTGCTAGAGAAGCACCTGTAGTATCCATAATGAGCAATTGTCAGAATTGGAGAAAAAGAGTTGCTGGATATATATGAAACAAGGCAGTGCCAGGTGAGTAGGAAAACATGGTTGGAATGCGTTATCATTCCATACAGGCTTACACTACTATTATACACGTACATGTACACATTAGGTGAAAACTATTGCTTGCTAGTGTTGTGAATGCTTAAAACTTTCGTATCAAGTTTAAGAGGAAAACCAAAGGACCCGTTAGTAGTTTCATAGAGATTTTGCCAAGCTTGTTGCAAGAGGTTGAATTAAGACTGTGTAGGGAAAACATGCTTCCCTTGCTGCAAGACTAACACATACATGTATACATTCATTTGACACCTTTTTTCCTAACTTGCTTTTATGCCAAGTAAATGTTTACATCAGTTCCTGCCTGCTATGTGAAATTCAGTTTTAAGACCTGGAGCTGTGAAAAAGCCATTAATTTTAAAAGGTTTCATGGTCTATCTTTGCAAGATAAAAATATCCAGAATATTTGGGGTGGATACTGAAAGAATCATGAACCCTCTCCTACAAGACTCATGCACTTACAGTACGCATGCAAACTGGCAAGCATGCTCAGTATAGTCTGGTTATTTAATAAGAAAATTCTCTCTCTCTTTCTCTTTCTCTCTCTCTCTCTCTCTCTCTCTCTCTCACACACACACACACACAGTGACATATACAGTGACACGCACACATACTCTAAACTGAGGAAGACCAATACTGGTCTTGTGAATAATAGGTGTGCAATGTAAAGTCTACCAGTATCTCTGTAAGTCAGAAATTCTGACGGAAGGATTTTCCTACAAGAAATACCATCTTTGGTGTTCATTTTTTGATGGTAAAGAAAATGTAAATGCCTGATGATAAAGTCATGATGGATCATTTTACACTTGTCGTTAGAATTTAGTTAATACGTGTAATAAAAATAACAATATGGTACCTTTACAGACTGCATTTGAAGTCAACTGGATGGTATTGTATCAATATAATGGGTTCCACAATGTGCCCTCATTTTTTTTTTTAAATGGGCATATCAAGTGACACATGTAAACAGTGCACAACATGTTGGGGTCTTAAACATGATCTGGAAGTGATGTGGTCCAGGGGGTATTCATGTGGCACAGGTGGGCATTTCATTGACCCAGTGAAGGTAGGAAATGGTAGGAGAGAGAGAGAGAAGGGCAGACAGAGAGAGAGAGAAAGAGAGAATGGAGTGACAGAGAGAGAGAGAGAGAAAGAGAGAGAGGGAGAGAGAGAGTGGGGGGAGGAGAGAATGGGAAGGAAGGAGGGATCGAGAGACAGGAAAAGAAGGTAGCAGATGGAAGGAAAGAGATGGAGATTTACTTGTTATTGTGACAGTGTGAGAAAAAAGTGATACTTAAAAAAAAGAAAAGAAAGGAGGCATATGCAATAAAAATAAAAACGACAGGGATGCAAAGAGCAAATATTGGAAAAAAAGAAAGAAAAGAAAGAAAAAAACAGGAAAATTGTAGAGATGGTAACAGTGAGCTGTGTAAGCCCTGGAGTCTTAACCCTAATATGCTGTCTGAGCCTCTCAGCCAAGCTAAAGTTTATAATACCTTGTTCAAATACCTCAGTAGTTATTTTTCCTACAGCTTGTTACTGCATGGAACCAGGCCAAGTGTCGAACTTGTTTAGAAAGAAAAGATGTAATTATTACGCTGAGTGAAACGCTGTACCTCTGTTTATATTTACTAAGAAAGGCAAACTTCTTGTGCACAGTAATTTTATCTTTGAAGTCATCTTTGTTTGATTTGAATGGGTTAAAATGACCAAAATCAAATTATAATGGTTGTAAAATGAATTTTCAGTGATTTCCCTTTGTTCTGAGTTCTGTTTAGTCAGAATTTTTATAAAAAATATATCATAATATGATATATTTGATAATCAGTGAAGTAGGTTTTTCATAGTCTCTTGTGTAGTGTGTAGTCAGAGCCCTTTGGTGAATAGTTAAAACTTCGTGCCTGGTACTTGTTTGTAAAAAAGATTTAAAAAAAAACATTTTGTATCTTTATAGCTGCTTAAAATAACATCACTAAAGTATATTAGCCTACAAAATTGTAAAATTTGAAATAAAAGGTAATGGAACTGCAGACACCTGCTGAGGTGGGGCATTCTGAGTTAGGCCACTCCAGCTTGACTGGAAACAAGCCTTTAGATGTTGTAAGACCTATTTCCTTCGCCTCTTTTGCAATAAGCATAAGCTTAATTAAAACATAAAAAAAACTATATTTTTGCTAAATTTATCAAGGATTTAGTGTATTATATGGATCACTTGACTACGAAATAATGAGCTCTCCCTTAGTCTTCAGTTTTAAGGCTTCATTCACATGGAAAGTCTAAATCTAAATTCTATTTTCTATTCGCGGTATGTTTTGTGATCACGGTCTGTGCCCTGAATATCCCGCGGCGTGATTACTGGCAGTGCGAGCCAGTTACTTATACAAAGCTGTAATTAATTCTCGGCTGTGCTCGGAGGAGATTCTGATATCTTGACGCATGTGCAGTAGTATCTCTAAGCTGTGGAGTTCATCGGTTTAGGTGTGACAACTCAAACATACAGACGCGAAATATGCACAAAATCGACAAACACATTTTTCAAAGCAATCGCGGTCGCCATTAACTTGCTAAATTCCTACTGCGCATGCGTAAAGGTATCAGAATCTCCTCCGAGCACAGCCGAAGATAATTACAGCTTTGTATAAGTAACTGGCTCGTGCTGCCAGTAATTACGCTGCGGGATATTCAGGGCACAGACCGAGATCACTAAACATACCGCGAATAGAAAATAGAATTTAGAAAATAGACTTTTCATGTGAATGAAGCCTAACACTATGAACATGTGCATGTTTTTTCAAAGAAGTCCCCCCCCCCCACCCCACCCCCACCAACACCCCCTCATCATCAATACCTGGGAACAGGCCAAGTACTGTATTTCTTTGGTTTTAAAACTTCACTGGCAAGACAAATGCTGGACTGTAATGGAGCCTGACTTGCTGTTTATTCAAACAGGTGTGTGTAAGATGTGTGCATGGACCCTTTAGACACCCTCTGACCTCTGTGTTAACTGACACTTGTCTAAATTTGACAGAAATGGTTTAAATTGAGCAAGTCTGACTTCTTGTGTGTAAGTATATTATATGCTGATCAATCATGTGCATTGAAATGGAGATTTGGTGTGTAGGGCCTTAAAAACAAGTTTGGAAAGTTGTTTAAATAGCTACATTAGGAAATTATATGTAAAAGTGAAAAATGCTTCAGATAGTTAATATGTCTGTGTGTGTGTCTTGGGGGTGGAAGAGAGGAGGGGGGGAGGGGTGGGGGAGAAGATTGTGCTTGTACTATCTCAGCAGTGGAATTGGGATTAAAGGCTATCATATAAAATCAATGGGTAAATATCTATCAAAAGTATTATTAGATTTTGATGTAGACAACAAGCTTAAGTTGCCAGCATGTCTAACAAATTAGGCATACTGATATTAAAACTGAAAAACAATTTAGTCTTTATCATTTGACAAATTGACTCGATAATATATCATATAAGAAGTTATAGACATAGCTTAATTTATTATGGCAATTACTCAGTCTTTTCAATGGGCAAAAAAGATCAAACTTTAAGATACGTAATTAAAATAATCACAAAAATTATATTTATATATAGCATAACCTTAATTGTTTTTAATAAATTTAATTTGGCAAGAAAATCCCAGATGGGGTATCTGATATTTCAATCTTTCCCCTTTCCACTTCCAAATATATTATTTGATATCAGCATGAGGTACATAGGGTTTGTTGGCCAACCCCTTGGGAGAAATGATGACTTTTATACGACTTCTTTCCATTTAAAGCAGTAGTGCATAAAGTTCTTTCTCTAAATATCTGGATAATAAGATGTTTAATTCCTGCATGTGCCTCTTAGAGGGGAAAAAAGAAGGAAAAAAAAAACATTCGTAGAGTGGTTAGTGGTTTTTGTGCCAAAAATTCAATCTTGCTTACTTACTTTCTCACTAATTTCAAACAAAAATCCCTTTATCCATTTATAAAAACAAACAAAAAATGTCAGTTAATCATTAAAAGAATGTTGATAAGTAACATTCTGATAAATTTTTTTATCTACATTAGAAAACATGATTTGCAAGTAACTAAAAGTGGCAAGTCGTGAAATAAAATTAAAAAATACTGGATATTGTGAGGTGTCCAAAATTTACTAATAATTACCGTTGTCTTTGTGTTTGATATCCCAGACAGAGGTATGTACAGGAGGGATTAACATTTTTCTTCTCAGACACAAACATGTATGTTGTCATTGAATAAGAACAGGAGGCTGATCAGGGCCCTTCATTATTGTGAACAGAAAAATTCAGTATAATGATCTATAATATGCCTTCTTATCTGTTTTGATCTTAGATATAATAATTTTCTAGGTCAGAGATAATGATATGGGGATTCCCACCCATGACTCCACCCTAATCTCAAAGCCAGCATTTTGTTTGGGGGGGGGGGGGAGAGAGAGAGCTAGGGGAGGTGCTACCGAATACAAACAAACAAAAAATGCACACAAAACTCACACAAGATTTAAACTGCAGACTGTCTGGAAAAGTGCAGCCCTCTGTGCAGCCTTTTAAGTTTTTCTTCTTATAAGTACCCCAAACCCAACTCCACCCTACCCTACCCATTTTTGTACCACAAACACACACACACACACACACACACACACACACACATATATAAATCATGTTTTAATTGATTAAATGAGTAAAGAATCTGATACCTCAAGTAAAGTAAATATTCCCTTTTTATACACTGATATATCTATTTATTTATCTAAATAATTTTCCTCTTCTTAAAAACCACACAAAGGCATTCATAAAAGTATAATTGAAAAAAAATCCAGGGTGACTATGCTTTTGATAATTGAATTATCCACAAAGTCATTCCCAACTGCATTTTCAAAGACAAGAGAGGCATAAAAGTCTCATTGACTGAGATATTGAGTAAATAATCATTAATTGGACGAGGGTGGGACGGTGGTAATGGGGCCTGGGGTTGATTGATCTTTTAAATTGAGCCCCACATCGCAGCTAATTAACTGTGACTGAGACAAGAGAGGGTTTGGACTTAAATGAAACTTAATTGGACCTTTGCATGACTGTTGAAATGCCAGTGAAGGTTGTTATGAATCATATTACTGGTTGGTTGACGAAGTGGTACTGCAGGAAAGCAGGTGGATTTGTTTTCTGGTGTGTTCATAAGGAGGTTTTTTGTAATGTAGTCTCACTGCAGACTTATTAGAGTAAAACTGAGGGGCATTGTCGGAGAGACTCTAAACAACTTTGTAGAAGGAGTCCAGAACCAAGATATTGGTAGCAATTCAGTTTTATGCCAGGTAAAAGATGCATCTGCTGTTCAAGTAGTATGATGCAGAATTTGAGGCAGAAATGCATTTTAACGCCCAGAGTCATGTCTGGCTTTGGGTTCTTCTGTCAGGATAGATGAAATTATTTCCTGGAGTAATTCTTGATTGCGCAGATGTTTTCAATCTTAGGAACACTGGGTTAAGACTGCTTTGACGAGTATATTAAGTGGCTGACTGTTAATATTGCTTGGGTTAAATCAATATTAATGATAGTCTAGGTAGGGCATTATGGTTAGTTACTAACACTCATTTTATTCAACACAAAACTAGTGCTATAGAGTAGTACAATGGAAATTACAGGTTGACAGTTGCTTTTTTTTTTTTTTGTAAAAATGCAAGACAGGTGGAGGTAGGCCCTTTGTCTTAGACTTTAGATTACATAAAAGTAGCCAGATTAATACCTCAGGATTAATCTTTGCCTGTTTTATAAGGAGGTGCAATAATCATGGTTAACATATTACCTGTCCCCGTATCAGTACCTATAAACACTCTTGTATGTGGGGAAGCCATGTTTTTCACACGTATACAGAGTGAACATAGAGATTACTACAGATTGTATCAGAAATGTGCTGTAATTTCTGTTTGTATATTGATGTGAAACCTGTATTATGTACATGTCGTATCTGAATTGATATCATGTATATACTGCAATGTGTTTGATCCGGCAGCTTCCAGCTGCAGGGTTAAGTTTGATACCTGATGTGTAGTTTACTTTATTCATTCATCCTTCTGTCTCTCCATCCAGCTGTAGGACAGTTAATTTGTTTCTTCCATTTATCCATTCATTTACCCATTCACCCATTTGTCTGTATCTATTTGTTGATAATTCCTTCAGTCATCTCCGCGCACCTCCTTTTTTTCTAACTCACTGCATCACACATTCACTCAGTAAACCAATATTTGTAATCATTTATTTACAGACCCATCTTTAATCTAAGGTCAATAGTTTAATCCCTGGGACAGGGCAGCCTTTCGTGATCTCTAACTCTCCCCCAGACTCGACAGTCACCTGAGACACTGGTATTGAAAATAAATCAGTCAGAAATTTGAACGCAGGTGACATACAGATTCAGCCGAAAATGAGCAAGACAGAGTGGTCTATATATGAACAATTCCAGAGGTTTGTGAAACCATTTATCAGCTGTACACTGAGGGACGTTGTTGTTAATTGTATTAAGAGGAAGCCACTGGTGGCATTCATGTCTCACAGGTAAGAGACTGCAGGTCAGGTATTCACTTAAACTTTGGGATTATCCCTAAACAAACCAGGTGGGTTTGGGATTATATGGAGTGAAGGGGGGTTAGATTTTAGGGTTGTTTGGTTAATGTTTGTTGCAGTGTTGTTGTTATTGTGGAATTTTTGAGTGTGTGTGTGTATGTTTTTTTGTATAAATACTGAGGTCTTGTAAGATACTGAGTACTGCATATAGCTGTGTGCTGAATAGTCTTTGCATGCAAATAAGCATTATTGAGAAATGATTCCATCTCTCAAAAATATGGGCCTAGCAGTAATGTGGTTTTAAAAGGTGGATATGTATAATTATCTTCCCATTGGTATGTGGTTGACAAATGAAAGTGAATCGACTATTGGAAAGCACCCGTATTTCAACCCATCAATGAAACATGCATGTTACGTCAGTAAAATCAACTGAGGCACCTAACGGCCAATTTACCCAATTGAAAAGAAAAATGCAAATATTTAATCTAACTTTAGACCCCTCCTTTTATGTAATATCCCCAGAAAAACACGAACAAAGAATCCACCATGGGCCATACACCCTACGGCCTGTAAAAACACATAACTGACCATGTGCCAATTGGGTCTCAAATTTCTGGGTTGGCTTGTTTTAACAGTTATATCATGATTGGATATAAAGATACAGAACAACATTCTTAGAAAAATACCAAAGTTAATCCACTTGTTGTGTGCATAGTCCAGGTGAGAATAGAGGAGGTATACAGTGGTGGTATGCTTTAATTTATAGTTAGACTATGATTATGCTCAAAAGAGACATTAATTATGTGTTTAAGAAATGTGGAAGTAATAAGACCAAGGCTCTATTCCCATAGATTTTAGATCGATCTATCCCCGTGGGGAGTCTCACTAGATTACTTTCAGATAATCCGACTTAAATGTCCGTCCCGCCTACTACAAGCAGTAAAGGGGTAATTTACTTTCGTGTCTGCCCAGCTGACAGCTATTTAGCTTGAACCCCCAGGGAGTTAGGTCGATTTAAAGTAGGTCGATCTAATCTATGGAAATGGGGTGCAACAGTCAGCAAGCAGTTGGTGCATTATGACTGATTATGAAGAGGTATAGTGAAAAGAGATGTACTTTAATAGTCATTGTCAGTGCAAGGTGGGGGCACCTGTCGTTGGCACCCCCTCTGCCACCGCTCACCCATACTCTTAGATACCCAGTTTTTCTATAAATCTCTCTCTCTCTCTCTCTCTCTCTCTCTCTCTCTCTCTCTCTCTCTCTCTCTCTCTGGATTAGAATGGTTTAATACCCAAAGTTTTGATATATATTTGTCCCTTGGTTCATGTACTGCAACATAAGTTCTTATGTCATCAACAATTTCTACAAAGGCTATGGCTACTTATGTTACTGGGAAACCATCCTCAGGGCTACTGTACCCTGTGGGGTTATTTGACTTACTGTAAAATGCCACCTATTGGGAATATCAATTTGTAACCCCTATGGTAACATCAGGTAAGATAAACAGCTCCTTTAGGTGACAGCCGTGCAATAATTTGTGTTCGACAGATTAGAAACTTGGGAAATTTTTCTCTGAGTTCGAGGTTGAGATAACTCGATTTACTCTGTCTGTGTCAGACACTGTGTCAAGTACTTGTTTTTCTGAACTTGCTTTCAAAATACTGCAGTTAAGGTCTTCTTTTCTTTGCTTTAGTAGGTGTGAAGTCATTCCATTCAATCTTGATGTGTTTATTTTAACGGAAAAAATATAAAGTGGCCTTAATTTACACTTTTTAGCAATCTTTCAATCACGAATGTCAGGAACATGATATGTGAAAGAAATAGTGGAAATGTACAATTTAATTGACGCTGAATTGATGATTGCCCTCTGCACACCTCGGTGAGTTTATCTTGGCAGTTTTCATTGAGCGATTGCTGTGACTCAACGACTATTTCCAGTTATCAGTTCAAGAAGTGATTATAGATAATTGAAACTATATACTAACATGCAGAATAATCAGTAGACATATCAATACAGATTAATCAAATGGGGCAGAAGACTGGTTCCTATATTACATTTAAATGCAATTATTTAGATCTAGTGGTACAAAGTGGTCTCCAAGTCTGGGGCTTCAGTCAGACTGATTTCACAGTTTGACTCGAAAATATATTTGACAAATAATTGTTGTACTTTCAGATGATAAGTCAATTTATGCATTTGATTTATTGCATTATAATCAATTTGACCTCTTCTATGACACATATGCAAATATGTAAGTAATGAAGTAGTGTCCCAGTATAGCTGAGTTCACGAAGGATTCCACTTGGACCAAGAAAAGAAGAAATTTTAAGAGAGTAAATAGTATCACAAGTCAGTCAGATTGTTAAAGTGGGGTTTGGCAGCCTGTTGACAACTCTTGTTTTATCTGGAGACTAAATTTCTGTCCAGTAAATATTAAGGTGATCTTGGACTTAATTTCCTATAATCCATCACTTAAAACAGGCTTTTATAATTTGGGGCTTGAAGACAATTAATATTTGATCCAATTATTCTTCATTTGGTGATTCTAACCTTTATCATATAGTCTCTTTGGGCTCAATCTAATCTTGATGTGATCCTATCATAATTTCCATCTCCATCACATAAAATGATATTTTACACTTTCAGGTTTTTTATCCTTAACTGGCAAGAATTCTGGTACCAAACAGTCTGTTTCTGACCTTATTTTCAATATTTGCTCCTGGTGTGAACATGCATTATATTCCTAACCAGCAGCAGCGAGCAGTCGACCATTCACTTAGCGGTGAGTTGTGATGAATATTATTTTCCTGTGTGTTTCAATAATGAACAAATATTGATTCACGTGCTGAGACTGTCAGGCACAAAGTCGTCTTAAAGTTGACATGTCAGCAGACAAAGAGACGTCCCAGGACTGCACGACACAGAAATATAATCATGTATAATACTCCATGCCCGGTCAAATTGTCATTGTTCTCAGAATGTCTTTTGTCAAATTTTGATGATTAAATTTCTTGAAGAGACCATTTATTTTTGTTTACTTATGTTTTAATAACTTAAAATTGAAGTGGGGGTTGAGAGGGGTGGGGGTGAGATAGGGGTATGACAGGCATAAGCATTGTCAGTGATTCATCTATTTTTAATTATTGATGTTATACAACGTAATAGATCATGCTATCTGTAAGAAAATTGAATGAGACGAACAATACCACCAGTGACACCATGTATATACATACTTCATAAAAGTACACATAAGAGTTATTGATTTTAATAAAAATATACAATAAAAATGGTCAAATTATTATCTTTATATAGTTTTAAATGTAGTTATTGTTATTTTATTATTGAGTTGAATAAGCTGTACAGAGCACATTGTATTGAATCCTACTCAGAATTCTATTTATTGATATGGTACCAGCCACAGCTTTGTGACAATAATATGGTACAATTTCCCACACTTTGCAATCTTCAACAAATATTGACTCTTAAAAATTTTGGGGTCTCAATGGTCAGACATGAGTGACTGTTAGAATGACCATTTGCCCTATGTTTATTTGTCCAGTGAAGGACAGAGTTGTGACTTTGTCAACGATTTATGTGTGGAACATGCCCCGACAAACCCTCGGTACCAGCTCTACGTGTTATTTGACAAAACAGTTCGCCTGTTTACAAATTACCATTGAAGTGTCTGTGACATTATTGAAAATTTATTGGGAGCTATAAGGTTGCGTTCACAATACTCCCTAATAGATTGAATAGTATCGATTTAAATCACACAGTGAGTGTTGATTGTGATCAGGCTAATACAAGCCTAACATTTCTCCATACAGTTATCTTTTACCTTTACTGATACCTAAAATTGTAGCAAATATTCTGTTTTGATTGCCTGTGTAGTTTAATTCTATGGTGATCATGGCACAGTCTGTCCGATTGTAATGTGAATGCAACCATAAGAGATTGAGTAAGTCGTGCGCTTCAGCTCCCCAGGCAGTGGGCGTACATGGAGTCATCCACAAAGCGAAATTTATAGCATTTAACAAATTGGCTTACGCAAAGGCATTTATTGATAAACATCTTACAATGGCCAGGCACAAAGAAAATCTAATCAGCGAAGGTGTTTTACCTGTGATTGGTCCTTTGATAAAAGGCTCGGAAGCCAGAGCCTGTGTTATTAAAAACAACATGGGGGCTAGTGACTGTAGAAAGCAGGGGCACCATTAAAGCTGGACATTATAATAGCATTGTATATTAATATAATCCAACGCTGCCTGCTCTATGGTACACGATTATAGGACTGATTAAATCAATTGAGACCAACAACAAAGCACCGCTTTGTGTTGATCCAAAGGTGAGAAATGAGAAGTATTGAAACTAGAGTGCCTTCAGTGTTGTATCAGTGTACAGAAGATGCGAGGCTTATTCTACAGCCCTATTTCAGTGCTGTGTAGCGAGACTTGCTCATTTCCGCCATACTAGGCTCGTTGGACCCTCGGACCTATTATTCCAGCAATTGTCTGCATGTGTTTTGATCTTCCTTTGTAGAGGTTTCTTTCAACAGTCCCCAGTGCCGGTAAAGTCGTGAGAGCGTGTTTGGATTAGTACGCAATTTGTTGATGATTTCATTCCTAGTAGACCGAGTCATCCACACACACATGTTGTGATGTGTGTGTGCACACTGTTTTGTTGCTACAACGATTAAGGAAGGCTTAATGTGGATATAGACGAGTTATCAGTTCTATTGAGGCTGGTCTTCTTTTGCAGTCAGGTAAGGGGAATATTACTCAAACACAAATTTATAATCAAGAGCTTGATAGTGTTATCAATACAAAAAAGTATGGTAATGTTAGAATTTACAGGTATTGTCTTGTGTTTACAATGACTTAGATGTTTATGATTGTAGACCAATCTCAGCACCATTAAAATGCTCAATTTCATACTCCCTGCTACGTACTTGAGACCATCAGAAGATAACGGTTAGTTTTTGAAGTTATACTAGTAATATTATGTAGAGACATGGAAATTATATCTAAGATTCACCACCCATTTCATATACTGGTATATATGACTCATAAACTAGACTATACCTGCATGGCAATTCAGGTAGACTGCATACTAATATGTGTTCAGAAGCAATATCGTACAGGTATAATGGTTATGAATTTATAAGGGTAACTGTTAAGATGGTTGACTATCACGATATATTAAGTCCAATCTACCTCTTCATGATCATTCATTTGTGCACCCACTGTCACTTTTGTGATGGGGTTTGGTGCTGTGGTACTAATCCATGTGTATTGGGAAGTCACTGCTGTTTGTGCAAATCGATCCTTAATTGGGGTCTCTCATGATCTCTTATACCAGTACAGTATACCTGGTAGGTACTACAGATTACTATAGGAATATATGTATCTATATAGCATTGTAAATTATACAAATGATGTAAATTAAAGAGGTGCCATATGATTTGTCAATGCTGTAATGAAGCCAATTTATGACGATGACAGTGGGCAGGAACCCAGTGAAATGTCACTGTCTGCCCTCTGTCCTCAGTCCACCTTTACCAGTTGAAGTGAGTTTTAGGAAAAGCTTTAATTTGTGGTGCTTAACAGGTTCTTAGATCAGTTTTGCTTTGTTAGAGGATAGAAGGAAGGATTTTGTTTTGGAAGAAGTATGGGGACCTGGGTGATAAAAATTGCAGATCAGCCTGAAGAAGGTGTAGGCAAGACTCCTAGGATGTGGGCAAGTCGTATAGGTGGAGAAAAACATAATCATTTCTCTGCTTGTTAAAGTTAATAGCAAGGGTAAAACAAGGGCAAAACATGGATCAGATCTATATAGCTGTGCACAAAAGTACTAGTGATAACTGATTATTTTAGAATATTTGTTGGTGATACGTAGGTGAGCACCTGAGGCATTCGGTTGAGGAGCCTGCTGGGTGTGACCTGGGACATGCATCAATGTGTCAAGGAAGGGGCGGATTAAGGCAGTCTTCTGGGTCTTCTGGAAGATGGTCAGATTTTCAAGTTTGCATTGACGGGTACTAAATTTTTTCTGTCGGAAGAGATCGGAAGATGGTCAAAATGGAGGATGGATCAACAAAGATAATTTGGAAGACTGTCAGAAAATATCTCTTGATCCACCCCTGCAAGGTAGCATTAATACTTGTAGATATGTACAGACATGTCCTCAGACTTACATGTCACCATGTGACCCTAAAGAAACAAACGTGAGATTCTATAGTTACACAGTATTTCATCATCAGACCACAACATGATAAAAGTATTAACAAAAAATTTTGAATGCTGTTTAAAGACATGAGGGGTATCATTGCAGCCCCCCACTATGCCATATTTCTCTCTGTGAGCTTTGAGTTGGCAGACAGCACAATAAGGGTTGTGCTGGATTACAAGTGTGTTATCCAGGGGGATGGGGGGTGGGGGGGATGACATTTCTGCTTGTTACAAAGCAGTTAAACTAGCTGATTTTCTTTGGAAGGTGCATGTAGGAGAGGGGGGGGGGGTAGGGGAAGCAGTCAAATTAAGTCAAATTTCTGATTGCTGAAATTAAGAGCAAAAGTGTTCTTGTTGAAACTAATTTGAAAATTAAATGAGAAAAACGTTGTTTTTTTTCCATGGGACGGGGACAATCAGATATCCACTTGCTAAAATAAGTTGTGAGTTTCTCTTAAAATTATTTGCAGTCTATAAAATAGGCCAGATCATACAAAGTCTGATGGAACAGACAGAATGGGTTGCTATCAGGTGTTTCTTTCGTAAAGCTGGGTATAATCAGGCTTTGTTCAAACCTGTCTTTTACCTCTTCAGGTTTAATGAATGGAGGCAGCTTGTAAGGCAACAAGGAGAAACAACACGAATTTATCATTCCAAATAAATGTGTCTCACGGATGACAGTTGAACTCTTTGCATATCGTGTGACAAATGTGATATTTCTTATGGAGGCACAAAAAAGAGCACGAAAGATCTGCAGGCATGACATGCTAAATATGAAGACATGATGTGAAATGGAGAGCACTGGTAATTTTTCTTTGTCCTTTAATAATTTATAATTAAAAATATTATTTATTTATTTATCTGTTTTAGATTTCCTGTGCTTATCCATCTGTTGAAATAAAAAAAAATGAAAAAGCTTGTTACAAACCTGCATTTTCCTGCTGAGTACTCAGTAGAATTACTTAGTCAAGTTTGCCTTCTCTCAGCTCAGGATACAATGGACCATAGGCAGTATATACATGTATAGAATGCAACTGAGAATAGTTGAAGCACAGTAGAGGCAGAACAGTTAATACTAGAGAAAAGGAGCCCCAGAAAATTTGTCAGCTAGATTTTTTTTCTTCTGCAAATATCCTGTATATGTCCCTTAAAGGACAGGTAATAGTGAACACAGTACAGGTGAAAGAAATATAATATATCTTATTTCTGTGACATGAGTCTGAGAATCCTCAGTGCTCCAGGGACAGGTCTTTAGATAGGTGGATGACACAGGGAATCATACTGCTAGTTAATGTCAGCATAAACACTGAGCCAGGTGTGAATCTGATGATGATCAAGTATTCTACCGGTATGCTGTAAAGTTAAAATATTGCCTGGGAAAAAAAGATGAAAACTGCTGACTGTCATTGTAATGCAGAAATTGGCAGTGAAATTACATAACAATAAGACATGAAATTGTGTAAAAAATGTTCCATGATACAGGGTAAAATTTCTTCAAGAAGACAAAAAGGTAAGTAGCAGTAATATAATACTCTATAGCTATGATCAATCACTC